AATAACATTGGTAATTATTTCGGCTTCTACGATAAACCCTAAACCCTAAACCCTAAACCCTATAAACCCTAGCTCCCAAACCCTTTCCTCGCCTGCTCCTGTCGGCCCCGCTCACGCTCGTAGTCTAGGGCGTCCTGTCGCTGGCTCCGGGCCATTAGGGTTTAGGGTTGAGGGTTGAGGGTTTAGGGTTTAGGGTTTAGGATTACGTCCCTGTGACACACGGTAGTGTGATTCTTCGCACCATAAGGACAGGGATGTTGGAAGTAGAGGGACTAGGTTGTTAGGCAATATCAATAGTCGTGCTTGTATCTTGCTCTGCAGCGGTTTCCCTATCCTCATTCCTGTTGTGCGGGGTAGCGTGACTAGGCGTCTACACCTCTCGAGATGCCTTTCTGCGGTTCGTGGTGTCCTTGGCGATACTGCTGCTGCTCTCCGTGCTGTGCCATTGTGAGGCCCAGCGCCCGCCAGCAAAACTTAATGTTGGGCATAGAGGGTGGGGGGCGTATGTTTTTACATCACAAAACGACGCAACTACGCAAGACAATGCAAACAGCTAAGCGGTTGGGGGGAGGGGGGCTGTTCACTCCAACTCACGAGCTCTCTCGCCTGAACCGACTCACACAAAGAAGGGTTCAGCCCCAGCCTGATCTTAAACCCTAAACCCTAAACCCTTGAACCCTGAACCCTTAAGTCATAGCTCAAGGTCACTGGGGCCTAAGCTCCAAAGCCCCTAACTTAAACCTTAAAGCTCCATGGCCCCAAAACCCAAATGAGCCATTGAAGGAACCCGAAGAGGAACCTGTAAAGGAAGCCCAGGAAAGGAACCCCACACAGCAGAGTCCTGCAGGCGTTGGGAGGATCGGGCATCGAGGGAAGAAACGGCCGCCATCGCTCGGGCCTCCATTTCCTGGCACAGCAAAAAGCCGCTTATGGCTTCGAAGCCCTAAACCCCAATCCCAAACCCCCAACCCTTAAACCCTAAACTATGCCGGTCGGCCACACGGGCCGACCATCAACGACAACGACAAGCGCGACAGTAATAGTAGCAGCAGCAGTAGCAGCCCTGGGAGTCTGCAGTTCAAGAATTGAAATTTGGGTTTGGGGCTGAGGCTCATCGCCCTCCTCCATTTTCTCCTCAACCACCGTCGCCACACCACCACCACCACCAGTGTCAATGTCATCATAGTCCTCATCGTCAAATCCACCGTTTGCATCACCATCACAGCGTTCTCAATCCCCATCGTCGTCGCCCACCAACACCATCGTCGGACGACCACATAGCAATCATCATCTTCGTCTGTTCACCAGGCTCGTCTTCATCAGAATAGCAATTTTCTTCCTGGGTATGTTCCTATATGACATGACCATGCTCGGAATCTTAATCGCGATCAAGAAAAGTCAGCATCACGGAAGCAGAGTTCTGGATTCAGGATCGACCCCTAAAACACAACATCCTATGCCCCAAAAAGACCTCTCCGCACATTGCTCCTCCTGCGCCTGGCGGAGGGAACTGACTTGTGAAGCCACGACCTGCCCATGAGGTCTTTAGGGTTTAGGAGGGCGACTATTAAGCATGGTGCCACTACCACGTCTAACAATGCTACTTTCATTATAACACTACTGGCATCAAGAGATCTGGGGTGTAACTGCTGCTACTTCTGCCAATTTCCGAGTTTGTAAGTTGCCTAGGAAGTGTTGATCTTGTCCTCCAGCTTGTCTCTTTTGGTGTCCTTGGTGAAGCTCCGTTTCTAGTGGGACTACCGGACTACCACCCTTCCACCGTTATGTTGCCGCAAGTCCTGCCCTTGCAGCTGGTCGTGATACCGTGATCTCGACAAGGCTCGCAAAAGCGTTCGCGTGTTTGCAAGCCCCGAACACGCCAGCCCAGCTTTTCTCAGATCTTAAGAATCCTGGCATCGGCCTGGTCGAGTTTCGCTAGCTCCGCCTTCATGTCAAAAACGGCCTGGCCGAAAGGGCACCCAGCGGTTTAGGGCAAGGAGGGTTCGGCTGCAGGGCTCACGGCTGAGGGTCAAAAGGATTGAAGAATAACCCACACCCCAATTCAACCCGGGGTTTAGGGTTTATAGGGTTTAGGGTTTAGGGTTTAGGGTTTAGGGTCTCGGGAGGCCCCTACGCAGACCCTGAACCCGGAACGGTGAGAAGAAGGTGCCCCAGCCAGGCCTGCGCTGTCTTGCCTGTCTGGATAGTCTGGACATCGCTCACCTGTCAAGACCCGAAACTGTGTGAGTGCTATTTCAAACTCTGCTGCAAACCCTAAACTAAACCCTAAACCGCAATGAAGCCCTAAACCCTAAAATCTAAACCATACCCTAGAGCCTAAACCGCGCAACCGCCTAAACCCTAAACCCTAAACCGAAAACCCTAATGTAGAGGTCTTAATAATCAGAATAGGGTTTTGGGGCCCCTTATACTATAACTATAATAAGGAACCCCCAAAATTAGTATCTGCAATTTTGAATTAAGGCCCCTATATGGGTAGTTGTCAAAACTAGGGTCCCTTTTGGGGTACCCTAAAGAATAGGTGCCGTAGTATAATAAGGACCCAAAAAGGGACCACAATTCTGACAACCACCCATATGAAACCCTAAATAGTAGGATCCTTATTATAAGGACCCCAAAATAAGGTACCCCCCAATTTTCTGAAACTCCCACATCTGCCCCACCTGCCGCATGACCCGGCCCTCCGAGTCCCTCAGCTCCGTGTTCTGCGCGCGGGCCGAGGACTCCACCCGCTCGGAGACGGCGTTGAGGTTGGTCTGGGCCGCTAGAATCTTGCCTCGGCAGCTTGGGGTTGAGGGTTCTTGGGCTTGGGGTTTAGGGTTTAGGGTTTAGGGTTTAGGGGTTTGGGGCTTGGGGTCTAATATAGGGGCCTCAATAATTTTGGAGTGGGGGTTTCTTATTATAGGTATAGTATAATATATTTCAGAACCCTATTCTAGGTATGATAGCCCCGATACTATTTAGCGTTACGGTCTGAAGTCTTAGCGTGTTGGATGGGGTATTGGGGGTTGGGGGCTTTAGGCTTTGGGGTTTACGGCTTGCCGGGTTTGTGGAGCCTTGGCTTGGTGTGTTGCGGTGTAGAGTTGAGGAGTTGAGGACTCTTGAAGGTTCAGGATACCCAAAACCCAATACCCAAAGCCCTAAACTCTAAACCCTACAGGGTTTAAGCGTGTAGGGTTTGGGGTTGAGGGTGTAGTGTTCATGCTTTGGCAGCTTTAGGGGGATCCCTCATCCTAAACTCCACACTCCACGCCGCAAACCTCAACTCAAAAGGGTTTAGTTCGGGTTTAGGGTTTAGGGTTCAGGGTTTCGGGTTTGTGGTTTAGGGTTTAGGGTTTCGGAACAGAACCCTTACATGCAACAAGCAGCCCCTCGAACACCAACTTCGCTCTGCAATGCGGCCCACAGGCACTGACTCTCTCTGGGAACCCTGCACTAGGGCTTAGTGGATGGGATTTTGGGTCCCATGCTCCGAAGCCTGACAATCTAGAACGGCAACACAGGACAATGTAGGGGCCTTAAGAATAATTCGAATAGGGAATTGCATATGTTCTGCTATAATACTTGTCATTGAGGAACCCCCAAAATCGTAAGGGTAATTATTCAGGCCCCGCAATAAGCCATACGAACCGTACATTCCCATAGGCCTAAACCCGAAAACCCGAAAATCACAAACTTCCAAACTGTCATACCCCTAAACCCTAAACCCTAAACCCTAAACCCTAAACCCATACCCCCCAAACTACAAACCAGAGCCCAGCGGCGATCGAGGTCGTCAATCTGCCTCTGCGCCGCCTGCCGACACGACACACGCCCTCTGCAAGCCCTGCATGCTACCGCTACGGTTCTTGGTGCTCCTAGAATCTTACTTTGCGGTTCATGGGACTTAGTAACTAGGGTTCTAAAAAAAGGTAACTAGACTTATAATTACTTCTAACCCCAATTAGGGTACTTATAACCTTACTTACTAAGTCCCATGATCCTCCAAGAAAACCCCAGTTCTGGTAGAAGACCGACTGCCGAGGGCAGCCCCCGCCTCAAGGCCATCTGACAAGCGTCTCGCGACGCCCTTGGTCTCACCATCCAAGTCGATGCTGAAGTCCTCCACTTGGGGGTTTCTGGGGCTGGGGGACCCTAATATAGCACCCTAAGTACTACGATCCTTATTATAAGGACCCCAAAATAAGGTAGCCTAACTTTCGGACACTTCCCTTTTGGTGGTTTTTGGAGTACCGCGTTCAGCCTGTTCCCTGGCGATGGGTATCGGGGCCTTCGTAGCGGATGGAAGCTCGGGGTATTTCGAACCTTGCTCTAAACCTAGACATGTTGTAGCCCAGCTAGCAGCTCGTGAACGACCGGAACCTTCATCTCCCAAACTCTAAACCCTTACCCCTAAACCCCAAACCCGCAAACCTCTAAATCCTCAACTCCGTAATACCTTAAACAAAAACCCTTACAAAACCCTGACCCGAACCCTGAAAGAAACCTTAAAGAACTCCTAAACCCTCATTAAAAGAACCCTTACAAAACCCTGAACCGAACCCTTAAAGACACCTCAAAGAACCCCTAAACCTAAACCCTCAGCACTGAATCGAGCCGAGAGTCCCTCTTCGCTTCGTGGATCTGGTCCGAAAGCTTCCTCAACACTTGCAGGGAATCCCTAATTTTAGGATTTAGGGTTTAGGGTTTAGGATTTAGAGTTTAGGGTTTAGGGTTTAGGATTTAGAGTTTAGGGTTTAGGGTTTAGGGTTTAGGGTTTAGGGCTGCTCGGAGGATCATGGGACTTAGTAAGTAGGGTTCTAAGTACCCTGCATTGGGGCTATAAGCAACTACAACTATAGTTACCTGACATATTGCCGACGTTACTAAGTTCTAAGACCCTCTAAGCACATTTTTCTAGGGGCTTTTAGGTCCTTATCAGAAGTAGTAAGGGTCCACTTTGAGGATGGTTTAGGGAGTTTGGTTGCATACGTGGTTTTTAGGGTTTTAAAAAGCCTTTGCAGGGTTTCTCAGAGGTTTTGCAGGGCTGGTGTTGGGGTCTAAGGTTCAGGGATTAGGTTTGGGTCCGAGCCGATGAAACCGTGTTGAACCTTCACAAACGCCCTTGAAAGCATCAAAAATTCAGGCTAGGCGCTAAACTCGGTAGGTACAATAGAAGGATCCCTTGGGATCCTCAGGCAAAGCTCAGTCGGAACAACTATTTGCACAGTATTCCTTCGGATTCGGACTCCTTAGCTTAAGTACAGTATAATAAAACCCCATTCCAATCACTAGGCCTCCCACATAAAACCCTCTAAACCCCTCAAGGTATCCTTAACGGAACCCTTTATAAAGGAACCCTTTCACAAGGAACCCTTTAAACAAGGACCCCTCAAAACCTAAACCCTAAACGCTAAACCCTGAACCCTAAACCCTAAACCGTGCCCAAGAGGCGCAGACTCCTTGATCCACGAGGCCTGAGCCTTTTCAAGCGCCAGGCCCAAGCGAGAGACGATGCCCTCGGCACGCTGTTGCTCCTGTGAAGGGTCTATAGGGTTCAGGGTGTAGGGTCTCAGGGATTTAAGGTCTAGGTTTAGGGTTTAGGGTTTAGGGTTTGGGGTTTAGGGATTAGGGTCTCAGGGATTAAGGGTTTGGGTTGAGGGTTTAGGTTTTAGAGTCTAGGCTTCCTTTATGGGGGATGCCCCAAACCATAACCCTGTGGCTCCATGTACCTGTACAGTAAGTCTTAAGACTCAAGCAAAGGTTCCTACAAGGGTTCCTCTCATGCTAATGTAGGGGCCTTTAGAATTAGAATGTGGCTTTGGGGTATATGATGCTACAATTATAGTAAGGGAACCCCCCAAACCCTATTCTAGTAGGGTCGTTGGGGTATATTATGCTATAATTATCACCAAAACCCTATTCTAATAGGGTTTTGGGCTATGCTATAATTTACGATGACGAACCCTCAAAACCCTATTCTAATTATTAAGGCCCCTACATTACTTGGAGGTTCTGGCTCCAAACCTCGCCGGCCGGCCGTCTCTGCCGAGGCCTTTTACCCGCCCCCCCGCCTTTGTTTGGGGTTCTGGGATTTAGGGTTTAGGGTAGAGCAACTGACAAGTCCAAACCGGATTAGGGTCATGTCTTCAAATCTCGCAAGTTCCTGCTGAACAACTACCCTAAATCCTTGCTGCCGCAGGATTACTTCAAAGCATCGAAGCGACAACTCGAAAACTGTACTTGTGGAGGCCTTAATAATCAAACAGGTCTTAGGATTTAGGGTTTAGGGTGTTGGTGTAAATCAAATAAGTATATACAGGAAGCATCGATATCGTGGGTAGTAGTACAAGTTCTCCAGCCATACGGATCCTCGATGCGGGCGTTCTGTTCAGCGGCCAAGGCCCGTTCGGCGTCGCCTAACTTCGCTTGAAGGTGCTCGTGGCGCATCTGGAACCTCGTTTAGGGTTTAGGGTTACGTCGGGTTTAGAGGGTTTAGGGTTCAGTGCGCGGGGGTTCGGGGGGTCAGGGCGCACGTTTACCTACCAGGACCTGCTTGTTCGTGGGATCCTGTCCTATGATCAACCCCTAGTATCGGATCGACTTTACAAGGACCTCTGAAACCTTTCGCTTGGTTGATTAAGCCGCACCTGAAGCACCAAACTAAATCGCCCTAAGGGCTGAAGGCCGCGGCACAACATTTCAGCTTGCATCTTGAAGCTTCCGCGCGGATGCTGCAACTAGAAACCTCAAGAACTCAGGAACTAAAAGCACTCTCAGGAGCTGCGTCCAGAACTCGTGCTTATCCTCCTCGCGCTGCTGTTGCTGCAGGGAGCGTAGCTGGGCAGCGATTTTGTCCTGCAGCAGAATTCGGGCAAAGAGAACACGCAGGCGATGCTGCGAACCAAGGATACCTCATGTCAGGGTCCTTGTGCTACAAAGCTTCTTACATATCTTACTACTTAGGGTTCATATTCTTGTCGCCGCGTGTCTGAAAGTCCCGTAAAGTGTCTACGGCCCCACACTGAGCCCGAAGTCTTCGAAGCAAGGGCCCGCAACCCGAAAATGAAATCCGACCTCAAGCTCTACACCTAAATCCGCCAGGCTAAACCCCAAACCCTATAAGCACTAATATACACCTAAATCCGAAAGGCTAAGCCGCAGGGTCACAGGGTCACTACCTCCAAGCCATGACCCCACACCCCCCGAACACGACGCCGAAAGAACGCTGAAGACTTCAAGCTCACTCCTCATTCAGAAAGTCTACCTAGACCCCTACTACCCTATATCGCAGCCCCTAAAAACCTTGTCATATGAAACCTCTTGTGGGAGTCCCGGTACGGCTCAGGAAATTCAGAGTTTGGGAATCTATAAACCCTCACAACATCTCTATAAACAGGCGTCCCTATAAACCCTAAACCCTGTAACCCCAAACCTATAGACCCTAAACCGTGAAAACACGAGGTCCTTGGAGTCCAAAATCTGCTGCAGCGCCGCAAGGGATGCTTTGCATTCGGCCACTACTCCCTGGCAATCGCAGGCTGTGGGGTTTAGGGTTTAGGGTATAGAGTTTAGGGCTTAAGGTTTAGGGTTTAGGGTTTAGGGCTTAGGGTTTAGGGATTAAGGTTTAGGGTTTAGGGTTCAGGGTTTAGGGCTTAGGGGCTGTAGGGCTTCGAGTCCTTCGGATGGGGATGGCTTGAAGCGAGGGAGCCCAGAATCTGAAAGCCAACCCTTCTGCATTCGTCTGATTTTACGATTTGAGGTTTAGGGTTTAGGGTTTAAGGCGTAGGGTTTAGGAAGAAATCCAAGAGCCAAGAGCCCTGATTCCTCTGCATCCGAAGCCTCTCACAGCAAGAACAGCCTCGCCTCAAACCAAGTTCCGCGCCTCCTCGTCCAGGTACACTCCCAAGCCCGGTAAGCCCCCAACTAAACCCTTAAAACCCCAAACCCTCAACCCTTAACCCTAAACCCTAAACCGTAAACCCTTAAACCCTTAACATCCCAAAAACCCTAAAACCTCAAGTGCCTGGTGCTCTTCCCAGAGCTCGCGCGCCGCGCTGAGCGCAGCCTCTTGCACGCCATGGAGGCGCTTGTTGCCTTGGCTTTGGGCTCCATGTGATATGGCGGGGGCAGGGGTTGAGGGCTTATGGGGTTTAGGGATTCTAGAATTTAAGGGCATCTTTAAAGCATCGGATTTCAAGTTTCATGTCGATGTTCTTGAGAGTTTGCTTATTTAGGGTTTAGGGTTTGCTCATTTAGGGTTTGGTGGTTTGGGGTGTAGCAGGACCTCCCAAGTACCCTGCCATAGAGCCGCCCGAGCCTTGGCACCCGGTCTAAAGAGTCCAGCATTCATGGTCTAAGGATTAGGGTTTAGGGTTTAGGGTTTAGGGTTTAGGGTTTGGGGTTTAGGTTTAGGGTTTAGGGTTTAGGGTTTAGGGTTTCAGAGGCATTCCAAGGACTTGGGTGTAGGGTTTGGGGTCGAGGCCAGGGTGTAGGGTTCAGGGTTGTGTCCAGCCGTGAGGGATTGATCTCGGAGTTGAATGGATGTAGGGTCGAGGTATTGCGAGTTTTGTGTGTCTTGCAAGAGCTCCTTCCATGGCTGGAAATGTTGCCAAGCTTCACTGAAAACTAAACCTTAGACTCACAGACCCTAGCTACACCCTTCAACAGAAACCGTAGACGTTAAGGTCATATGTATCTATCTAACAATGTGTGTATATATATATATATACACTTATGTATTTAATTTATTTGTTTGTTGTTTGTTTATTTATGATTCTATATTTTTTTTCAGGCCCTAGACCTGGTCCTTCAATCATCCCAGCCTCCAAGTCCAACGGCTAAAGTGTTGAGCAGAAGCTGCAGACTTCGAGGTTTTCGGGCTCACAGCGCGCACAGACAAAGGCAAAACACACACCTACAAGCACCCTGTTCCCGAATCCCGAAAGCCCTAAACCCTGCATCCTAAACCTGGACCCTCAACCCTAAGCTCCAAGCAGTACTAAGCTCGGTAATTACTGTAAACCCTGGAACCTCAACCCTAAATCCCAAGAATTAGACTCCTCAGCCCAGCGTCACATCTCCTCTGCCTCCTCGCAGCGTCGAGAGCACTCGGTCCCATTGCGGTTCAGCTGCTCCCGCATCTGCTCGAGCTCCTGTCTAGGATTCCGTTTAAGGGATTACAGGGATCCTTTCAAGGAATCCCTTGAAGGGTTCGGGTTTAGGGTTTACGGTTTAGGGTTTAGGGTTTAGGGTCTAGAGTCTAGGGTGTATAGGGTTTGGGGTTTAGGGTTTAGGGTTTGGGTTTAGGGTTTAAGTTTAGGGTTTAGGGTTTAGGGTTGTCCTTTTCAAGGGTTTCCGATTAGCTCGGGCTTTCTCAGGTTTTCTGGGGCTTCTATTCAGGGCAAATGTGAGGGCTAAGAGCCCTTCTAAGAGATACTATAAAGCTTACCATTATAGTATAACATTATATATTATTGTATGTTATTATGTATTATAGTATCTTATAGTATCTTATAGTATCTTATAGTATCTTATAGTATCTTATAGTATCTTATAGTATAGCACTCTAAGAGCTCCAGTGAGGAGAATCAGCCCCGCCTTTCACGGGTCTCCGGATGCTGTTTAGCCGATGCATCGATAGGAAGCTATGCTTGGGTTGCAGTCCACTTTAGGGCTTTAGGGTTTAAGGTTTCGGGCCCAGGGGTTCGGTTTTAGGGTTTAGGGTTTCGGGCTTGGGGTTTGGAGTAGGGTTTGGGGTTTAGGGCTTAGGGTTGAGGGTCTTGGTTTTAGGGTTTAGGGCTTGGGGTTTCGAAAAACTTCAGATTCAACAACTTCATGCTCGGAAGCCCGAACACTTCGCACCCGAATGCAACGCGGCAACAAGTGATAAGAAGACAAACACTAACCCTAACCCGAACACCCTACACCCTAGCAACTCTCTGAGACCAACCCCAAACCCGAAGTTTGAAAACAAGATAATTAAGCCACATCGTATGTGCATCCGGCCGACTCGCAAGGGCTCAACTATAGACTCTAAACCCAAAGCGCCAAGCACTACCCCCAACACCCTCACACCTGAACCCTGAGCCCACAGACAAACTAGACCCATAAACGCCCTTCCAGGCATAACTCATGAACCCCAAAAGCCTAGAACACCTAACTCCAAGCCACAAACACCGAACCCAATACGTAACATGAAGCTCTGAACACCAACACCTGAACTTGAAGACCCTGCCATGCACTCTAGGACTCTAAGCTTCTAAACCTTTAGCATCAACGACCAAAAAAAATCTAAAAACTAATGACCCCAAACTTCCCTATGCCACGAGGCCCAAACCCAAAAACCCTACACCACCAAAGGAAGCGCCTCCTTCAACTGCTGCACCGAAGGCTCCAGCGAGGAGAAGCGAGCTTCGTAGCGCTGAGCCTCCTGTGGGGGTTGGGTGGTCTACTTTGAATCTTACACATACATATACATACATGTATACATATATATATATATATATATATACATAGACAGACCTTTCTTTGGTAGTGGGGGCTGGGGTGACAATCACTGAATCACGGGCTTCAGAAATCACGTCACCCGTTCGCGAGTAGGGACCCTTATGGCTCCTGCTCATCTTGAGCCACGTTCTGCTGAAGCTTCTGATGTGCAGCGACTGCCTGCTGCTGTTGGCGGCTGCCCAGCTCCTGGACCACGTCATGACACTCTTCACGGCTCCGTTTTGCTGATATACTAATGTACTATAAACCCCCAAGCATTCTTACTTCAGACCCCTATAGATGTTACAAATATACTATAAACCACAATACTCTATTCTAACTATGTAAGGCCCCTATAAGATTGAGTTTAACTGGTCCCCGGTCATATTATAAAAAATGGATGTGATCTAAATACAACATACCACCTTTTTCATATAGTACCGTGGGCTCCTGGACCATGTCGTTCAGCTGCTTCAGCTGCTCTGCCGTCTCCACCCCCAGGGCCACCCGCGCGCTGGCCTGGCGAATCATAGGGGCCGTAGCGATTTGAATGGGGGTTTTCGGCACATGTTGTGTGTATCTTAGTTAATTTTATATATATATATATATATACATACATACATACACACACCCACACATGTATGTGTACATGAATGTCTGTGTGTTAATATACAGAAGGGGCTATAGGGGAAAGCTGAACTAGAATGCGGTTTTGAGGCAGATTCTACTATAATTACATTGGCGACGATCACGAAATGCTGTGCATTGGCCTCGCGCTCCAGGCCAGCGCGCAAGACCTCCAAGTTGGCGGAGGCCGAGGCAGCCACGGCTGCCGCTCCCATGGCTGCTTCCCCGGTACCTCCTGCGCCGAATTGCAGAGATGGGAGTTTCAATCAGCAAGCGACCCGGAATGAAGACCCTAAGATACCCGAAACTTGAGGATCCTGATCATAAGGACCCCTTACAGCCCAGTCCCTCAAACTAAACCGGTAAACCCTTAAATGCGAAGCCCTAAAATCCTAAACCCTAAACCCTAAACCTGTAAACCCTTATATACGAAACCCTAAAACCATGAGGCGCTCCTCCATTTCCCCCGGCAGCGCTCAGCACGCCCGTGGACACCGCGTTCATGACGCCCTGACCATCCCCGAGCCCTAAACCCTGAACCCTAAACCCTAAACGTTATAAGCCCTAAACCCTAAACCCTAAACCTTATAAGCCCTAACCCGAAACCCTAACCTTATAAACCCTAAACCCTAAACTTATAAACCCTAAACCCTAAACCCAAAGTCTTATACGCCCTAAACCCGAAACCCCCTGAAAATGTACCGCGTCGCCTGCATCTGAGCCGCCGCTTGTGCCAAACCAGCCTCCAGCTCCTGAAGGCGCATGTCCTGCTTCAAGAAGGTTTAGGCTTTAGGGTTTAGGGTTTAGGAAGAGGGTCTTTAAGGATATAGAGTTTAGGGTTTAGAGATTTAGAGTTTAGGACTTAGGGTTTAGGATTTATAGAGTTTAGGGCCTTCAAGAAGAGGGTCTTTACCCATAGGCCCCAAAGTAGTTCCTTTTTGGGGCTCATATTTAGAATCCTATAAGGTAATCCCAAAAGGAACTACTAGCTTCAAGAAGAGGGTCTTTAAGGATATGGGTTGTTGTCTAAATTAGGGTCCCTTTTAGGGTCCTTTTTATAAGGGTGCCTTACTATGTTGGGGAATTAAAAACGACCCTAATTTAGAGAACTATAGAGTTTAGGGTTTAGGGTTTAGAGATTTAGAGTTTAGGACTTGGGGTTTAGGATTTCTAGAGTTTAGGGTTTAAGGGCTTAGAGTTTAGGGCGTAGGGCTTAAGTTTTAAACTTGCTAGGGGGCTTTAGGGTTCAGAGTGTTCTCAGTTATCAAGGGATTCAGGACTTTTTTATGTCCTGCTTAAAGCGAAGGATCTCTGGAGGGCCTTTGTAATTAGGTTTCTCAGGGGTTCAGGGGCTCAGGGTTTAGAGTTTAGGGTCTATAATGTTTGTTCAATTTAGGGCTGAGGGTTTTAGGCCCGGTTTAGGGGTGTATTCAGGGTGTCCTGCTTTTGGTTCTGCGCCGTAAGGGCCCCCACCAGGCGTTGCTGCTGCTGGCCGCTCTCTTGCCCAGCGGAGCGGACCTGCTGGAGCTGGGCATGCAGCTGCTCGTGCCTGGGTTGAAGCTCACTTAATGTAAGAAACTCATTATGAAAAGAACCATAAAAGCTCACTTGCTGTAAGAAACTCATTATGAAAAGAACCATAAAAGCTCACACAGTGTAACAAGTTAGCTATGAAGAACACCATGACGCCTAGGAAGGAGATTGAAAAAAGGCGTCCCAAAATGCCACCTGGGCGCTCTCTTTGCACCCAGTCCTTGAAATGCTTGTCGGCTTGCTCAAAGCCGGCGAAGCGACGGGAAATCTCCGACCTCTCGAAGGACAACTCTCCCTAAACACGCCCTCCGAGCCCCTCTCGTAGAAGTAGAAGGGTTCTAAAGGGGCCCTATGAGGGTTCTTTCAGGGCCCTTGAGGCTTCTATAAAGTTTCTACAAGGCCGTGAAAGGTTTCTATCCATCATCGAGAAGCTAAGTACCCTGTTTACTACCAACCCAGCTACCAAACCTTGTAAGAACCCTCACAAGGACCCCAACTCAACACCACTTAAAGGCACAAGAATCCTTCTCAAAGGACCCCACTTTTAAGTTCGTAAGTTCGTATTATGAAGATCATAAAAAGACCCCAGCCCAAGAACCCGACTCAAGGGACTCCTCTCTTAAGTTCAACCCCAAGGGCCAGTCAAGGGACTCCTCTTGTATTTTCCTATGTGGGACCCCAAAGACCACTCTTATACTATCTTTTGTTGTCCTCTTGACCCACCTTGTAGATGATACTATCTTTTCTTGCCCGGAACTGTATATATGATGTTATGAGAAGCCCCCCTAAACCCTCAACCCTAAACCCTGAACCCTACACCCTCAACCCTAAACCCTAAACCCTTAACCCTCAACCCTAAACCCTATACCCTAAACCCTCCTGTCCCACCTCTGCTCGGTGATTGCCACTTCCAGCCGCTTCTCCAACCACTCTCTGGACTCGCCTCCAGGTTCCAAGTTCATTCCTCGGCTGCTCTTAGTTCAGGGTTTAAGGTTTAGGGTTTAAAGTTTAGGGTTTAAGGTTTAAGGTTTAAGGTTTAGGGTTTAAGGCTTAGGGTTGAGGGCTCAGGGTTTAAGGTGTAGGGTTTAAGGTTTGAGGGTTTAGGGTTTAAGGTTTAGGGTGTAGGGTTTAGGGTTCAGTGGTTTAGGGTTTTAGGGTTCAAAGTTTAGGGTTTAGGGTTTAAGGCTTAGGGTTTAAGGTTCAGGGTTCAAGGTTTAGGGTGTAGGCTTGGGATTCAAGGTTTACGGTTTAAGGTTTAAGATTTAAGGTTCAGGGCCTTGGGTTAAGGGCTGAGGTGTTTGCATGTATACCTGGCCTGCCTACATACATACCTCATACCGCTTACATTGAGTTCCTACTCTGGAAAATATATTATACGAAGTTACTAAACTTAACAACTATTATGTATTCCCTTCCGATGCCTTCCTGAAACGAAAGACTATTCTAAAACTAGCGAGTTACAATCAAGAATGTCCTGGACTCGACTGGAACACACCATCAGACTCACGTGTAACTAAGCATAGCAGAACACCTCAAGAACGGTCCGGATTCTACATCTATGTGCATAATACATATATACACACACGTACATACACAAACACACACACACACACTCTCACACTCTCTGAACAATAGATAGATAGACTGAAAGAGCCTAAACCCTAAACCCTAAACCCTAAACCCTAATCCCTAAACCCTAAACCCTAAACCCTAAACCCTGAACCCTCAACCCTAACATAAGAACGGCCCGGGTTCGGGGCCGGAGATGCGCAGCTTTCAGGTCGGCGCGCCAGTCCCCCTCCACGGCTCCGATGGGGGCACCTGGGAGCTTCTGAAAACAAGGGGTACCTTATTTTGGGGTTTAGGGTTTGGGGTTTAGGGTTTAGGGTTTAGGGTTTAGGGTTTAGGATCATTGGGGGTACCTTATTTTGGGGTCCTTATAATAAGGATCCTACTATTTAGGGTACTATATTAGGGTCCCCTATTTTCGGAACTCCCCACCTCCGCCCCAGCCGATGGGTGGCAGAGGCGCCTGGTACTTAAAGGGGCTTAAGGTTTATAGGGTTGAAGGTTGAAAGTTTAAGGTTTAGGGTTTGGGGTTTAGGGGGTTTAGGGTTTAGGGTTTAAGGTTAAAGGTTAAGGGTTTAGGGTTTAGGGAGTAGCTTATCAGTAGAGCTCTGGGTGGAAGAGGCGCCTGGCACTCCAAAGGATCAGAGGACACAGTAAGTAGCTTATCGTAGGTAGCTAGAGGTAGGGAACCCTAAAATGAAGCGACGCTACGTAGCCGGGATGTCGAAAGTGGCAGCCTACTTGTTAACTAGTTTATATAGGGGCTTCAATAATTACCATTACTATTGTGGGAGCCCTTATCATAATTCTAGTTCAATCCAGTATAATATACCCATAAGGAAGCCCAAAATAGTACTGGTAGTTGAAGTATTTAAACACCCGCTTAATCAGTCCCTGAGGTGCCTGGTAAGGAAAGGGCGCCTGAAGCGGAGGCAGCTGATCCACCTCATCTGGCCTCGACGGCAAGCTGCGGCTTTCGCGTCCTGACGTCCGACGGTTTAGGCTTTTTGCTTAGGGTTAAGGATTTAAGGTTAAGGGTTTACGGTGTAGGGTTTAAGCTTTAAGGTCTAGGGGCTGGGGCTTGGGGTCTCGGGTATAGGGCTTAGGGTTCAGGGCTTAGTCCTGCGGCGTGGTCTTCCCGTGATCTGGGCCTGCCAGGCCTATTCGGAGGCAGTGAATCCTCACGATGGTGCAGCACCGACCAAAGGTGATCTGGCCGGTCTTTGCCCATGGGGCCATAGTTGATATCTGCTGCAACACCTGGTTGGAAGCCAAAGGGGGCTTTTCAGATAGTTGCGGTTGGGATTCCCTAATACATGATCCGCGCTGTAGGCGTCGTAATCCCCAAACCCTAAACCCCTAAACCCCTAAACCCTCTAAACCCCTAAACCCTAAGCCCTAAACACCTAAACCCTAAACCCTAAACACCTAAAC